AAGTTACGCAGTCTGTTTTCTTTTTTTGTTAACATTTTTATCAAGCACCTTTATGGTCAAAGCAGTGGTCACTGTCATGAGAGACAGAAAAGGGTGAGGCATTGTCCTTGCTATCAAGGAACTGCTTTGAGGGTTCTGGTTGATGGCTGGGGATATTCTTTATCATTGTGTTTGTGTTTATATGCCAGAATATGGGTGGGCTCACATCCATAGGTTAGTAATCAGACAGTCCTGCCTGGTATTGGATAAATCAGCAGGTGCGAGTCGGTTTCTGACAACAGCATACTATAAAATCACGAGTGTAGCATGGATACTTAGAAGCGTCTTACACAAAACTTCTGCACTTATCCTTCATCTTTTAAGGTTTCCTTTGTGTATTAAGAGGAAACTTAATTATAGCCATTTGTGAAAGGGTTTTGACTGTAAAAGCACAGATTTCAGGACCATCCAACGGATGATAGTGTTACACCTGTGGAATCCACACACAACCAGGTTTGAAATTTCTTTCTTATCGTGACAGAGGTGCCTCTGCAACACATGGGTCATGTGTTGTCTGGCTCCTGAGAAGAGAAGAAAAGCCCATGCTGTCTCTTTTTGTAAAGTTATTTTTATACATCAACATAACAGCAACCAAAATGACTATCTTTATCAGTTAGGACAGATAGAACAAATTGCATAGACTGTGTGGCTTAAAAAAATTAACATTTATTTCTCACACTTCTGGAGTTTGGAAACCCAAGGACAGGGTGCCAGTGTGGTTAGAATATGGTAGGGCCCTCTTCCACATTGCAGATGGCTGATGTCTTGTATCCTCATGTGGTGGGAAAAGGGCTGGCAATCTCTCTGGCCTCTACTCATAAGGGCACCAATCTCATTCATGAGGGCCCAACCTTGTTACCTAACTGCAATCATTTACTTCATGATGGCATTTCAGTTGATGACAGATGACCTATACTGGTGGTCCCATAATATTATATGGAGTAATGACATCGTTATCATCTCAATTTGTGTGAGTGTATGCCATGATATTAGCACAATGACAAAACAGCTTAACAATGCATTTCTCGGCATGTATCCCTTCAGAATCTGCCCCTATCAACATACGTCTCTATTGTTGAGCAACACATGACTGTACAACCTAAAGCCCCCACCTCAATATACCATCACTGAGCATTAGACTTCAACATACAATTTTTTTTTTTTTTTTGGCAGGGAACACACACATTCATCCAACAACCATGACCAAATAAAGTTACAAAAATTATAATATATTTAACATTTTAATATTATCCATTTTGATGAATTTTTGTTTTTTTAAATACATACATAAGCACTAATGTGATTATTATAAGTACATAAATACTTAGGAATAATGTTAAAATTTAAATTTAAAGCCTTTCTGACTGTGAGACCAAAAGTATTTCTTTCCTTTCCCTCAACCTCATTTTCTTTATAGTATGATTTTTTCTGTTTTAAGCACTAATTGCTTTCAAGGGATTAAATACCAGGTCAGGAAGTATGTGCTATGTCATTTAGTCCTAAACTCTCCATTTGTTCTCTCTCTTTTTCTCTCTTGCTTTTTCCCCCCCAAAGAATTCTTAAAAGAGAAGGAAAGAAAGTCTTTTAAAATAAATATTCAGACTGCCAGAATCTAACATAAACTTCAGCTTCAATTTTATATGTGGTAAAAATGAGAAGAGCTAGGATTCTCTGATTTTATTAATAGCATAAATTCCTTGCTTTTTTTCAA